CTTTAAACCATTTCAATGAATTATATATAATAATTATCTTGCATTTACTTTTGTATCATAATTAATAATTAATCTTTATCTTCATTATGTATAGCGGTTTCAGCCATTGTGTCCGTTTTTATATGACAACCTTCTTTATTATCTTTCACTTCTTTTTCTTCGAAGTTCTAGACTATATTACATACACCCGCGCACTACTATCACTCCATTGTTTTTTTTAATTATATACGACGTTTTTTTAAAAAAACTGCAATTTGATCTCACTTCGCGTAGTTTTTTAACGAGGGAACGTATATTTAAGTCTTTTCAACAGACGATAATGTACCCGTTCACGGTATCGTCAACAACGGTCTTGGCTCACGCTAGTTGATACATCTTCTACACTAGAAGCATCATCAGCTTCTTGTAAACCTGTGAAAAATGATGTCAACGCCATCGTCGCAACTCCATGCCACTCGCGTTGAGCTGGCTCAGGGCTTTTTTTCCATGTCAAGAATGCCTCACTTGAAATTATATTATAGTCTGATAAACTTGTCATAATATTAAAGAGAATCCCTACAGAAAGAATTTTGTTATATAATTTTACAATAACTATTGATAACTTATTATAAAAAAATTCAAATTCTTACCGTGTGGATATTGTAAATTATGCAAATGAAGTTGAATTGCATAAAGACACTGTAATTCTAAAGATTCATTTGTATCGACAAACCGACGAATTAATTGTTGTAAATTAATGAAAACATCGGTCTTTAAACACCATCTGTTTGTGTTAGTATTTACTGGTTCTGAAAATAATAATAATAATAATAAAGTAAAAAAAACAAATATTAAAATGTTCTATATTAAAATAGCAAAATATACCCATGGACGTCTCTAAAATGGCAGTCGTTAATACTCGAATAAATTCAGGTTCTTTAATTCGATTACCTACATTTTCCTACAATAATCAAAGAATAAAATATATTATTTAGAATTTTTTAAATATAATTAATAAATTCAAAATATACTTACAATTATCCAAGCACAAATTACATCGAAATTACTTTCCTTCATGAGTCTTCTAAGTTCATCATGAATTTGTTGTAATGTGAGCTGATTACTAGTTGAGCTTTTGGCACTATTATAATCACCAGTGCAGAACTCCAAGTTCTGAAAGTAATAATGTCATTGTTAATGTTATCATTATTATTTAAAAATAAAATATTCATTGATATTTTTAATAATAACTTACATAATCTTTAATAATTTTATCAACTTTTTCAAGTTCTGTATCAATTATATTATTCAATTGAAGTCCACTTTGGTCCCACTTATCTGCAACCCACTTAGATCCTTTATCCCGGGATAATTTTGATAATAATTCTCCAAGGAATATTCCTACATATCCCCTACCCCTTAAACTATCAAATATAGGTTTCAATTCATTTAGAGAGAGTATTTCCTCTTCTATTGGATGTGCTGCAAAAGAAAAAAAAATACCGTAATATAAATTTCCTTTTTATAATAAATATAAAATTTAATATTGTGGATCTCAGTCCTGTTGAGCAAAAATTCCCGCATGGAAACTCTATGGTAAAAAATAATCATCATAATTGATTGCTTTTTTTTCTAACATAAAAAGTTTTAATTTATTTACTTACATAGTATCTCTGGTATATATGACCAAACTTTAGGTATATCAAGCACAAGATCATCAACTACATCCAATATTTCAATAAATCTAAAAAATTAATTATAATTAGTTTTATCAAAAAAACATTTTTACAATTTTTATATTGAGATTCTTAATCAATATCCTTTTGGCTATATTTTTATTAATCAACATATTTTTTTTTTGTATAAAAATTTCATCATTTTTCATTCTTATATAATGATTAAATAAAAATGATTAATTTAATCTTATTTATTTTACAATAATTAAATATCACTTACCCATTCCTTAGATGTGATATAGGTAAAATTTTTTGAGTAATCAAATGAGATAGAAGATACGATATGATTTCTCTATCAAGGGGTGATTTTTCAAGTACAAAGTTAATCAATTCAGATGTGAATTTTGATAATTCGTTGTCGAAATTTTGTTGAATAGCCAATGAAACTTTCTATAAAAGAAAAGATTTTAATGAAATGATTTATGCTTAAATAAATTTTTATCTATTAAAATAAATTTTTAAATATAAATAATAAAAATAATAAAATGTCCTCTCATTGATCATACAATCAGTGATTTATATAATATAACATTAAAGTTAATTTATAACACTGTTTAAAAAGATCAAAAAGAAGGTGTTGCATAATCTAGCACACTAATGACTCATGCATCTCTGAAAAAAATAGAGATGGATCTAAGGAGTGTGCAAATATTACCATCTATATAATATATTCCATGCTTCATATTCAAAATAATTAATAATAATAAAATTTTCATGAATAAATAAAGATATTTTTTATATTATTCTAGTAAATACGAATGAAGATAAAAGTGTCTGCAATTCGATATTATTCTAATTATTTTTATTTAAAATATTTTAATTTAAGTATTTAAGTATTTATTATATAAGTATTTATTATATTGAATTATTATAATCTTAAATTAAAATTTCTATGAAAATATTTGTTTCTTAGCATGAAATAATTATAGTCAACAAAGAGTAATTAATATGATATAATTATGACGTAATAATTGAAATATAAATATAATAATAAAAACTCACTTCGAGAATAGGATTTTTTAGATAATCTTTCATTATCTTATTTAATGTTTTCAAAAATTCTTCATGTGTCATTGAAGGTTTATGACTGCTAGAGGTAGATTGTGAGGACTTCAATGAGGGTGGTGGCATAGAAACGTTTTGACTTTGTGAATTATCTAATAATGAACTTTCTCTACTTGACGATGAACTGTTTAATTGATGACTACCATTGCGTGAACTCCTACCATCTGTAACAATAAAAATATAAATGAAAAGTATGTATAATATAAGCGAATTAAATTAAATTCTTCTTAAAAATTCTTTAAGAAATCAGAATCCTTTTGGCTAACAACATTAAGTTTAACTTTTCAAAAATAAAATATTTCATCATATTTTAAAATTTATTATATTAATTATCTTATTATTTAAAAAAAAATAGACATACCATAGGAAGGTTTGTAGTCACGACCATACTCTCTTGGTCCAGTAGACCTTGATCTGAAACAAATTCATAACAATTTAAATATTTAAATTATTTTATATATATTATATTTGACAATTAAAAAATTAATCAGAATGTCTTTTTAAATCATTATACATCAGAAACTCTAGCCTAGCAAAATCTATATTTCATCACATCTACTTGATTAAATATTAAATAATGAAAAACATAATATTTAGCATACAACATACACTAATATATAATATATAGTATTTACCCAGAGAGTTGTGGAGATGTCATTCTTTTATCTTGATCTAAAGTTGATACATTTTCTAAACATGCAAATTTATTTGAATTTATTGCCTTTGAACCGCAACTCGAAGGTGTTTTCCACATATACACATTTCTGCTACCTAATTGTAAATCGTCCATCGGAGGCTAAAATAACAATAAATACATTTAATTATTGTTATTCATATATTTATAATTAAAATTTTAATATTTTATAAAAATGTTAATAAATATAATATAATATAAAAATAATATAATATAATATATATATTATATAATATAAATATAATATAACATAAAAATTTACAGGTTTATTTTTAAGTTTAGCTGTTTCAACAGAATATTGCGGTCTTGTTCTTACAACAGGTTGACTCCAACCACCATCATCAGTTGGACCAACACCACCTAGATATAAATCATAATTATTTAATTATTTATAAAAAATAGTAATGTGTAAAATTAAAATTATATTTAATTAATATTATAATTATATATAAAAAATTAAGTATAAATTGTCAGAACACAATACAATCATTTTTATCAGAAACTCTAGTCTGGCAAAAAATGTGTAAAATCATCATGCTGTTAAATTAAGAAAAATTTTTGTTTGTAAAACATTAATTCACAATTTTGTACTTATAATATTTTTGTTGTACTTTTATTATTTATATTAATTTTTATATTGTATTGATTAAATACTTACGATTTCTTTTTCTATCACTAGTACGTTCATCCTTTCGAGGTGTATTCAAAGGAGTATTACTTAATTGACTATCTAATCTTTCAGAATCAGCTTCTTTTAAAATTTGATCTATTGTTTTAGGATTACTATCATCTCTCCTTGGAATCCAATTATTTGCTCTTAAATCTATGACATCTTGCAACATGAAACGAATTCGAGAGCTAATTTTCCCATGTCCCCGTCGTGCAACAATATCTTGCATTTTATTAAAATAATCTTGCATTTCCTAAATAATAATAATTATATAAATAAAATAAAAAAAGTAATAAATATTTGGAGGAAGGGGGATTAAATATTTGCTATTAATTATAAAATAAAATAAACTTACTTCTGGAGATACTTTTGATTCTAAGTCTTTTCCAACTGTTGTTAATAATTTGCACAAACATTCCAGACTATCTTCATCGCTCTGAATTAATAACTCTTTTATACAACGATGCATGATTTTAGTTGTTAACATTCCTTGCTTATACAATTCTCCAATAAATCTATAATGTAAAAAATAAAAGAATAACATGAAGTTAACATGTAATAAAAAAATAACAATATATCACACAATAAAAAATTTAATAAAAAAATTAAATAAAAATAAAACTCGAAGCAAGAAAAAGAATTATTAGATATAATAATTCTTAATTATAACTTATATACTTAATTAATATAAACTAATAATTAATATAATTAATAATTAATAATTAAAAAATTAGATTAAATAAAGATTAATATTTTATTTAGTATTTTTTAAAAATGTTTTATGTATTTATACTTATATTACTTACCGAATATTTCCTACTGATTTTATGCGTGTTCTTCGTTCTTCTTCTTCAAGTGCTAATTGCAAATCCTTTTTCTTTTCCTAATTTTAAACACAATAAATTTTATTAATAATGACAACATATATACTTAATATAAATGTAATCAAGGAATATGTTATATTAAAAAATATATTAGGCTTACAGGATCGGTACATTCCTCTATTTCTTTAAGCTTACTAGCTCTTGCAACTTCATTTACTGGATTTCTTTCAAATTCCTTTTGACAACGATTAATAATGAGTTTTTTAAAAGTATACGAACACTCTTGTTTATCTGAATTTTTATCTGAGCCTGAAACTTCCATAACAGCAAGTTCTTTACACATAAGTGCATATGCTACAGAAAAACTTGGTTCATCAACAGCCTAAAAATTATATAATTAAATTGTTAATATGTTAATTATATAATTAATAAATAATCAATTGGTTGCTATAATAAATAAATTTACCTTTTCAAAGACTAAATTAATTACACCTTGTAATCGTTCTGGGGTATCCACAGTTAACGCACGTACTTGATCAACTAAAGTATTAAATTTTTGAGGTGTAAGTTTATTTAACACACTTCTAACTCTCTTAAAAAGAGCTTCTGTTTTTGCTTCTTCTTCACTAAGATTTAACGTTTTTAATCTTGTCGGTCTCCACGCATTTTCAGTTTCTCTTAATTTTACATCTTCTCTAAGAGATAATGAAACATGAATAACATTTGGCTTTGTTGGTTTTGATGATTTTCCTGGATGGCTTTTACGATTAGGAGGTGGCTGAATAAAAATAAATATGTTGTATTAAAATACAAATACATACAAGAATTTAATATAAAATAATATTTAAATATCAGAAAAAAATTTTCTATCAAAAAATTTCAGTCCACTACTTTCATTTACATCATTCTTTAATCATTTCAACATTGATGTAATTTGTAATTTTCAACTTTCTTGACTTACCACTCGTGTATTTAAAGTTGATTTTATGAATCCTGGAAATAAAACATCGTGTCTATTCATATTTGTATCTTTAAATGGCCTAAGATCAAGGGTAGTTCTTGCCTGCAAGAAATTATTATTCATTAAATTATTATTCATTAAGTACATTAAAATGATAACAATTAAAAATAATCATTTTCATGTAATACCTTTGAACTATCCTTTAAAACAACATCTAAATCTGGTAAATTAGATGGTTTAATTTTACTGTTGGGATCATCCTGAAGTTTCATTAAAAATTCACGATCATAAACCTTTTTACCGCTTTTATTGATAGGACTCCATTGATCTTCCTTATACTTATATTTTAATTGTATCTGATTTGTAATTGGTGTAATTTCAGTTTGAACTAAAGATTCATTTTCAGCTGACTTCTCAATAACAGAAGATACTTGTGATTTGTCTTCATTAGATGTTCGAATTGCGGAAACCTTTGAATTCTCTTCATTTTTTTGTGCTACTATTGCTTCCACATCAGGTTCTTCTTTAACTTTCACATGATCAACAACATCATTAGGAACTGATTTTGTTTGCATATTACATATATTCGTTTTGTTATTATCCTCTATTTTAGGAGAAGATTCTTTTATAGTTTCTTTGTTGCTTGGCAGTTTTTCTATAACAGGTGCTTGTATGAGAACACTTTCTTTTGAGATTTCTGACGTCACGGAAGTAGTTTGTTTTTCCGTTTTTGTATTAACAGAAATAACTTCCTTCTCTTTTTTCGGTTCATAATTATCTTTTTCCTTATTATCTTTCGTAATTTCGCGATTTGTTTCTTTATTGCTATCCTTTGGTGTTAAAGGATCTCGTTTCATTTCAGATTGCACCGGAGGTACAGTGTTTACGAAAGCATCCATATCTGTACCTTCTTTTTCTGCTCCTTTTCGATTAAGTTCTCGGGGCTTAAGCTTATTTTTATTTTTCTGTTTCTGCATTGCTTTACCTATTAAATGAAAACACCATAAAATATAATAATTAAAATTAATACAAATATTAAAATAATAGACATAACAAATTATAACTTATAACAAATAACATTCAATTATAGTTTATACAAAAATTTATAGAAGATATAAAAAATATATATATTTGTTCGCTGGATTCAAAAATCATAAAAATAGAAAAAAATGGCCAATACAAAAGTATTATTACGTTGATATCAGTACTGAGAGATGTAGCTGTAAAGAAAAGTGAGTATTTCGGCTACAAGCCAAGGATAATTATAGTCCCAGATCACAGTACATTTCGTATGACATTTCACTTTTTTATTAAGTTATTCATAAAATTATATATCTTAAATGTTTTATATATCTTAATTCATAATATCTTAATTATATATCTTAATTCATAAAAATTAAAAAAATATATTAATACATATCGTTTTATGATTATAAAAAAAAAAAGAAAAAGAGTGAAAAAGATTCAATCTTTTATAATAAATAAAAATACTATTGTAAAAAAATTCGCTTCAACAAGTTTTAAATATATTCGAAAATACTAATTCTTAAATTAATATTTCGATAACAGAAATATGATAAATATGATAATTTATATTTGTATAAATATTTAAGATATTTGCTTTGAAATTAACCAATCTTAAAATAAGTCTAAGATAATAGATTTTTTTAATGATTTCAGAGATAAAAAACAAATGACTATATTATTATTAATTTCATATATATTATTAATTTCAAACCATGTTAGACATATACTAATTTTCTATTATTAAAAATTTAACTTAATAAGTAATCGATTAATTTAATGATA